TTCAGCCAATCATATATCCACCTAAAATTATGAGACACCCACGCTCCACCCTTTAGCCCTTCCATATTCATATCTCCAAAAACTAACTGTCTCCTCCCACGATGTCTTTTAACTTTGCTAATGGCTGAGACTTTTTCCCACTAAGACCAATTCACCCCTTCCTCAAAGGCCATCTCTCTACCCACCCTGATAGTTTCTGCCTCCGATTATCACTATAAAAACCGCGGTAATCCTCCTCCGCGATACACACACTACTTCTACTTCTACTTCTAATTCTACTCTGAAAAAGGCAGTCATACTCTCACTCGGATATTCTGTTTTGAGCATTCAGAATTTAGATTTCAAGTCAGACATCCAGATAATATATCTACGATTCATATATCCGAGTTTGTGCAAACATTCAAAGAAATCAGCAAAAGGCATTAGTGTTTGTGTTATAATTGAACAACCGGAAGGGAGTGGACGAGCACAACTTAACCTACCGAGCAGGAGCTACCAAACGACAATTTTATTTTTTGCTCACCTTCGGGATAACAGGAGTCAGCAGTAAGTTCTGTTTTTTTTGCTTCTACCTTTTCTACCACCATCTTATTAATTTCCCATATTATTGAAATCCGTTTTTAGTGGGTCATTATTACAACATAGGAATAACCCTCCACCACGTTTTCCGAACGTTCGAGGTAGTTTTTGATATTAGCGATCCAGACCAACTTACGTCTCAGATCCACTACCTCCGAGCCATAGTTAATATAGCGTTAGGAACTGATTATCACCCGGATCCTACACTCCTATCCCCTTACCTTCTTCCTCGTTTTTCCCCTGGTACTCCGCCTTCTTCTCCTACACACGCGTCCCCGCCTTCAATCCCTTCGATATCTTATTCACCAGTTTCCTTCTCCGAACTATCCACTCCCTTAAATTCACCCGACCACTCACGTTCCCCCTCACCCGACTAACTCTTTACTCATATTTCTACCTTATTTTTTTATTATTTCCTCCTTCTTTCACTTCTCATACATACACACATACACATACACAGTCATTCCTCAACTGTATTAAACCGCGCCGTAATTCATTTTGTTATTATAGTCATTTTAATAAATCTGTTTATATTTCATTCTTTTTCCAATTAATTTCAAAATCACATATACCCTTCCAACAGTCAACTCATGGTCCTATCCCCGGTAAAGGGATTCGCGTCCCTGACCGCAAAACGGACCGCTCGTCGTACGTCGGTGCTCGAGTAAAGGGACCCGTCGGGTCGCTGACCCGTTCACTGATACGCGTGTACGAACGAGGTTCGCCTTACTCGCGAACGAAAGGGTTGCGTTCCTCCTCTAGGACGTAACAGTACATTCTCGTAGACGGCTACTGTCGAAATTTCAGCCGAATCGGATTCGTAGTTTTGTTTTGACCGCGTGTGGAAGCGGGCGTGTCCGCGGATTTTAGAAAAATGGAAAAAGAGCAATATCGGTCGGTGATTCGATTCTTGTTTTTGGAAGGGAAATCGCTCAGCGAAATCAAAGAGCGCTTGGATGCTGTGTACGGTGACTCTTCTCCTTCGATGGCGACCGTCAAAAATTGGTTTAACGAGTTTCAACGTGGTCGCACGTCGGTTTTTGATGAGCCACGCCCAGGTGCCCCGAAAACGGCTACCACGGAGGATAGCATGACAAAAATCCACGATCTGGTATTGGCAGACCGCCGATTGAAGGTGCGCGAGATAGCTGAGACAGTAGGCATCTCAAAAGATCGCGTGGGTCATATCCTGCATGAAATTTTGGGCATGAGAAAGCTGTCGGCGCGATGGGTGCCGCGTTTGCTCACTCCGGACAACAAGCGCAACCGTGAGACCACTTCAGAGCAGTGTTTGACGCCATTTAAGCGCAATCCGAAGGAGTTTCTGCGTCGTTTCGTGACCGTCGACGAAACATGGATCCACTGGTACACACCAGAGACCAAGGAACAGTCGAAACAGTGGACTTCACCCGGCGAACGTGCTCCGAAGAAGGCGAAGACTGTCCTATCGGCCGGAAAGGTGATGGCCACCGTTTTCTGGGATTCACAGGGTGTGATCTACATCGACTACCTGGAGAAAGGCAAAACGGTCACAGAGCTGTACTATGCCGAATTATTGGGCCGATTCGACACCGAATTGCAGAAAAAACGGCCCCATTTGGCGAAGAAAAAAGTGCTCTTCCACCATGACAATGCACCGGCTCACACCTCCGCCCTCGCCACGATCAAATTGGTCGAATTGGGCTACGAACTGCTGCCCCATCCACCGTATTCTCCAGATTTGGCCCCGTGCGACTTCTTTTTGTTTCCAAACTTGAAAAAGTCACTCGCCGGGCAGAAATTTGAGTCGAATGAGGAGGTCATCGCCGCCACGGAGGCCTACTTTGCAGACCTCGAGAAAACGTATTTTTCAGACGGGTTAAAGAAGTTGGAGCATCGCTGGGTCAAGTATATCGAGCTAAAAGGAGACTATGTTGAGAAATAAATCGCCACTTTCCCAAAATTTTCGTTTTTCTTTTGTAGGCTAAGTACTTATCGGACCACCCTCGTATATAATTCGGATTCGAATTCGAATTCGAATTCTGGGTCTGTATCATGATTCTGTATCCGGATACTTCCTTCTTATACAGTGTAGTTCGAATTTGGTTCGAGATAATTTGAATTCTCCAAATACAGTTTGAATTTTCAGATTGAACTTGATATTGGATACTCTAATTAATATGCATAGATCTTGAATATTCAGGTAGCTAGATATTTATATACTTGGGAGTTTTAATTAACAGCACTAATTACAATGTAAATAATGTGTCAGGTAATTTAAATCACTTTCGATGACGTATGGTTTCGGCCAATCACCTTGTGGTTCTAAAACGTCGTAACACATTTACGATTGTCACATGATTGGAAATCCTTTTAGTGTCTCGTCTTAGGAGATGATCTGAGAAGTACATCCTCCGACTGTACAACCATTTTTTATCCCTAATGTTACAAATTTAACTGTGTATTTGCCAACGAATATCATCGGCTGGACGTATTGTGATATTCTAATGAATCGTCGGCTAACTTCGGTTAGTCTCAACAGTATTTAATTCCGTACCGTTAACTGTGGCTCGCTACGGTTTAAAATGGTACGATGTACTTGACAATGGTTTGCGTTTGCGATATCTGGGTGTTTTCGCTGACATACATGAAAAATATCACGGGTTCATGAGCGGTGGTACAAACGAGCCGATGATCATCGCCGAGAAGCACCCAACTGCGAATAACCTGAAGAGTAAAGTTGCTTATCGTCACTCCTTGTCGTTAACCTTCATGGATACCTGCGATACATGAATATTTTCGCCAAACATCCCGATGTATGTCATCTAATCTATTACTTGTCAAAAGTATAAAATATATACATGTATATTTCTATGTTTCAACGAAACAATCGTAACGAGTGATTTCAATCAACAATGTACGGTGTTACAAATGAGGTAATAAAAGCGATGGATGCGACAATAGTCATATTGCAATTCGAGTATCGCTAGCAATTCCAGCGATTTCGGTATGCTTGATACGAAGCCGAGAATATCTCAAATTCATCAAATGCGGTATTTTCATAACTGGAATGCCCGGGATCGATCGATGACATTTAAAAGACAGCTGCCGTCCGTCGTGTAAAATTGATGTCATATTTAAGTAATTCTACAATTAAGAAAACGTGAAGTCTTGAAATGGTTCACATTCCAGATTCCGCAATGATCGATCGTGTCGAGTTCGTCTCAGTTCTAACAAACTCTCTTTCTCTCCTGTTCTTCTTCTCCCATATCTGCCTTCTTCACCCCTCATTTCGTGACCATTTGACAAATATGTCATGGACGTAAATCGTAGTTTATTGATCGTAATTTCCCGTTTAACAAGAAGACAATCAAACTGCACCATCGATAGGTGCTACAAAGATTGCGTGCGAAATTCAACCTGTTGAAGTAATCCGTTTTCTAAAAATGGCCCGTTAAATCGACGACATATGGATTTCAATCCGACTGACGCAACAGAATCGAAAGATGCCTGAGAGGGTATAAGCATCTTCGTCGAGTGGCGGCACGCAGAGATTGAATTTTCGGTTTTGCCGAGCCGTCGCCACCGCCGTAGCTGCGAACTTTCCCCCTCGAGTCGCGCCTTCGCGAATTTTCCCCCTCGATTTCCGCGCGATCCCGATCGTCCGAGTGACCCTCAACCATCCGACCGCTCCGTTGGTAGCCTCTTCGTTCATCGCGGTGCATTTAAATCGACTGCTTAAGTTGACTATAATACACTAATCTCGTAATTCATTTACATATTTAACGCGCGCGTCGTCGGCAAAGTTCGCCGACTGGTGAGTCGGAGCGGGAGGGCGACGAAGGAGAGTAATTAGTTATGCATGTGTACTTGTCGGGTCCCATCTCGGTCAACCCTTAACTTCTTTAATTTAATAACAAGCGCGTGCGGAGGCGGAGCAAGAATCATCGCTTCAAAAACAAGCAAGCGACGCGAGCGAACAAAACAAAGTTCGGCGCCTTCCGTTTTATCAGTTTTATCAGTCTTGTGTCACCGTAATTTCGCAGCGTCCGCGAAATTACGGTGACGTAATTTTTCCACCACGACCACAAGAATTGTGCGTTTACATTAGTTTCTCGAAATGATCGAGAACTCAATCTATAAGCAAGCAAACACGCGCGAAGCCTGATATCGAAGTTACTATCCCGTTAGTCCTTGTGCAACTTTGATAACTGTGTCGCACCAAGAAGTTGAGTCGATCGTTACCTAACTGAACTGCATCGATTATATCGTCCGATGTTCTTGTTTCGCGATGATGAAATACGGTCGGAGGTGAATGGTTTCTCGAGTAGTGAGCTAGAACCTTTCACTTGTCTTCGGTGTAGAACGATGGAAATACAAAATCGTCGTCGGTTTCCGGCGAGTTGAACGGCGAAGCTGCGGCGCGTGTACATAGGTATGTGTGCACATATATTTCGTATTGGACAGCGTCAGGAAATTAAGCGAGACGGTCTCAAGGGCGACGTTCAGACCTCAAACTTCGGTCGCGGAACTTTTCTCGGCATTGTGCCTGGATTTATCTCTTCCCGACGTGTCGAACTGCTTTCGAGAGAAGAGCCACGGAACCCAGAAATATATTATTGCAAGCCGTGACTGGCGTACAAATACTGCTCAACCGTCGAGAACAAAGGTAGATATGAGACAAGAGAGGGAAATTATCGTTCATATCTATTAATGGATAATTATATTGTAATTAGATTAATCACATATTTAATCACGTAATTTAATCACGATTGATCCTTCTTGTACACTGATTAACTATCATTTATATTTAATTTATAATAATAGAGAGATTTTTGTGTGAAATTTCTTGTCGCGCACGCGCGTATGTGTATATATATGTGTGTGTGTGTGTAACATTTAAGAAAGTAAATTTTCATATTTATCTAATTTCTTTCTCAAAAGAGCACAAGAGAAATTATGTGTGATAAACTGACGGGTTTATTTAACTCGAACATTGTAAAAAAGACAAATATCTCTTGACGTCCTAATCGACAAGATGAGGATCTAAATTATTTACACATTTAATCCCTGCTTCTTTGCATCCTCCTGATACTTGATAGTATATTGGCCAGTGGGATCGTACTTCTTTTTGAGATCCTCCCAAGTTTCTGGTTTCTGAAATGAAATGAAAGATCACATAAACAATAATTTCTCCATCTTCATAACGAAAGATTGAAAAAATTATATTTTCATTCGTGAAACATTGATAACTATGATATTAAACTCGTTTAAAGGGCTAAATAAAGATAAAGAAAAATATTTTTATTGCCAAAATTTTTTTACTCCTTCTATATTATTAGCTTCATAGCGAAAAACATGATAAAACGAAACTCCGTATAAAAAGTATCCATGTCATAATGACTGTATAAATATCGTAAAGTTATAACAAAATCTGATAGGGAAGAAGGTAAATGTTTGAATGGGCATGTATTGTCAAGAAAAACTATATCAAATATAAAAAATGGAACAATTTCCTGAAAAGTCTTCTTGAAAGTTATAATATTATTAAATACATACATCAAAACAATATTCCGAAATAAAATTGTAATCATTGAAATTGTCTTGTTATATAGTCAGATGCATTAATATCTACTCACTTGAGTACAAGAGTGTAGTACTAATACACTTATGTGCACTGTTTTTGGGAACAATTATATATTTAGAACAAAATTATATTTCGAGATATTGTATCAGTATTCGGAATTCGGTCTTGTAACTTTTTAGAAAATTGTCTCAATTTTCAAATTTAGAGATTTTGATTTTTCGGGATAATACATGTCTATCAAAAGATCCTATCCATTTTGGATGTTATTGTCGCAAGTAATGAAACGCGTACTGAGATCGATAAAGGGATAATAGATTATTGAAAACTTAATATCTACTGCTAAAAAAGCTGCCAAAATCGGCAAATTTGAGAAGTTAAATTTTCTTATCTGATAATTCTACTAAAACAAAAATGTTATTTGTTTTTTATTCCAAGTATTCTAATATTTTAGTCAAGATTCCATATTTATTTAATTTTAGACCGTGGTAAATTCATCACATGCACAACACCCTTCTGCACAGTTCTGCATCAGTTTTTACAACAGTCACCACGGGAAAGTGTTCTGGATGTTAAGAAATCAAATAGAAAATTCCATTTAATATATTTTTCCAATATTTCAAAGAGTGTATTTCTAAATGGCGTCAACTTAGAGAATTGTGTTTACACAGAGAAAAATGGTATTTACTATTAAGAAAACACAATTTACTTTCCTACTTTTAAATAATGGTTATTTTCAATAAAATATTTTCTCAATATAAAATATCACAAGTTTTAGAAAATCTTATTATCGTATGTTTAAAATAAAAATTCACTATCTTTTCAAAAATATTATAAAACTTATACTCTGCATAAGAAGTAAATTGAATTTTTATGTCAGTTGTGCTTGTCTTAATTTGATTGAAATATTAAACTTACTAAGATTCAGAATATATTTTGTTTATAATGAACTTATAATAGGTTTATGGACATATAAATTTATGAAATATTTAAAACAAGTAAGGTTTACTTGAACGTAGTACGTATTCCTCTGTGTGTATGCGACATTTTAATCCTGTAACAATTTTGTACTTTACTTAAGTCACATTATTAGTCACAAAAGGCTCCAAACCTACGTAAATAGGCAGGACTTGTTACACTCTAAAATTTATATTTTGAAATGCCGAATTTGCCACATATTCGCAACGATGTTCTCAGCGTATGTATCAGGAATGTTGAAATACAACAGATTCAAAATAGGTGGAACCTCTCTACTCTCTTCATACGATTACACCGTCTGCTCATCTGGTCAGGCTTTCGAGGGATGCGAATTGAAAGGACGACGGATGTATATCGTTGTTTAATTATTTGGCTACGGATGCAAAAGTTTTCCGGGCGTGACGAGTCCGGGATATCCCTAGCTGCCCGCATTACCGAGAGGTAAAGAGAAAGAGAGAGGGTTAACTGCGTTTCTGTGTGGAAGTCAAACTAGTTCCCCGCAGCATTTAAACTGACTCGATGTATCCCCCAACCGTTCTCTTTCCTCCAACATCAACTCATTACGCGGCCGCGCGTTTAATTAGCCCAGTGAAAAGTGACAGGATTGTACCTTGTTGACTAGAAACCGGATGACCTTCTCGCTGCCTCTCTTTTGCTTCTCGCTGCACTTGCTGCAGTCACTCGCCAACGCGTCCGGAAGGTGTTCTGCAATACAGAAAATCATAATTGCAGAAAAATTCAGATCAGGGACTCCGTAATCTCTGTGCGGAGTACAACAAAGTCCATCTAGGGAATGCACTCTAGTTGCGTCAGTCATGAGTACCCAGCGTCATAAAATTATAAAGAATGTTGCCCGTAAATTGTACGACAAGACGTCGATTCGGATGCCGATTCCTATTTTCTTCCTCAGTTGAGATTAATTGATTCGATTCTAATTTCTCATGGTTCTCATTCAAATATCTTGACGACGAAGTTAGTCGCTCTTGTAAGGATCGTTTCCATCACGACCGAGTCGTTTCTGGTAAAGACGAAGTTCATAATAATGTATGTTATTTCTCGAATATACGATGTTCTGCAGGATTCGCTCGAGATTTTTTGTCGTCCCACGTCATTTGCACCAGCTGCTCTGGGCAGCTGGCCGTACACCCGCGCATATCGCTCGTGAATTTTCTGAGACAAGGACTATATATCCTCGGTAACGTATTACTGTCCATCGCACGTTTGGGATGGCGTATAAATGAAAAAAGCTCAGCCAAAAGGAAAAGGGAGGGACGATAAACGCAACTCTATGCGAGAGGAATAAATAAGAATGGTATATGTGTATGTATGTGTGTGTGTGTGCGCGCGTGTGTATGTGGGACGAATAATCAATACAAAATTTGCACAATATATTTCATCAGAGAATATAACAACAACCGATAGCGCAGTTTCCTGGCACATCGTGCGAATCATTTTTTTCACTTAATATCTCATCGAGAGATATTATGTATACTGCGAGACCGTTGCAAACGAAATTCTCACGCGCTAAAAAATGGGCGTTCGTTGTTCGTGCACCTAACCGCGAGCATGAATAATACGACACGTGCAAATGTCTTGCTGAGTGAAGAGGGCGGTACTTTTTGTCAAAATCTCCCCGGCGACAAGCCGGGCTTGTAGGGTATCATCCATATCTCGAACCGGCGTGATACACACACGTGATACACACACGTAGTTCGTACATATGTAGCGTAGTTAACGAAACGACCTCATATCGCGTATCCTTCGACGGGATGAAACGAGATGGCCATTAGTCCCAAAACTGATTTCCCGCTGGAAAGCATGGGAAAGATCGTCATTACCATTTCATTTCGTCGTGCATGTTTTGCCACACTATCACGTGATGCCGTACTGTGTGCGAGATACATTCGCTCCTCATATTATCGTATCCTCCTCATTATTATTATTATCATCATTATTATATCGCATTACAAGAAATGTTAAAGTTAAAGTAAGAACAAAGCAAACGTTAAAATAAGAACACGTAAGTAACGTAAAATATCCCGGTCTAAGCATAAGAGGTCGCAACGAGGGTAATATTGAATGAAATGTCAAAGAACTTTCACCTTTGAGTTCCTTGCCATCAGGCGTGCAGCTTCCTTTGTCCAGCAAGCAGTTCACGTAGTTCTTGAGCAAACGGTCGCTCGCCAAAATCGAGTCTACGTCGACGTTGTCGTATTTGGTCGTGTACTTCTCTTCTGCCAAAACGCAGACGACCACAAGAATAACAAGCACGCGACATACAAAGTCAAAAAGTCCTTTTAATTACAAAGAAACACATGCAAAAGTCATACATCCGAATCTATTGTTGCGACCTGAAATAAAATGTTCAGTAGCTAGTTCTCTGCTAGTTTCCGGCACTCTTACGGATTTTATTAAACACTAAGATGTTTGGTATTATATAATACTTAAAATATATATGTATAATAAACAAGCGAATAAATAATAATTAGTAAGTAACTAATAAGTCACTATTCGCTTTATACGATCAAATCTGCGCAAGAATGCTGGAAATTGGCAAGATACTGGTTATTGAACGTTTTATTCTATTCAGCGAGTACCGGTACAGATCAAGCGCACCTCTGGCTATGAATATACCGCATCCGGTTGCAATCGCGAGAGAAGTTTAGGGTTAAACGCGAGTCCGAAAGACCCATTCAAACACAGCGGTTATAAATACATCGACCGATAGTGAACAAAGTGTCACAACGCAGCGGCCTCGTTTTCCCATGCTAAATACCGGTCGGCTGTGCACGCGTGCGTGCGTGCTTGCGTGGCTAAATGTTTGCAACTGAGCCGGTTGACAATCACGAACGTGGGCGAGCACTACCGAAAGGTAGAATCGCGCGAATGCATTCAACGCGTGATGCGAACGCTAACGAACGCGTCTCTGCGTTATATACGCGAGCGCGTTGTGCATTTCAGTCGATGATTCTATGGATATTCCCCCCCTAGGCTTCCAACAAAAATGGATAACACGTCACCGGGCTCCTACAAGCTCATAGAAAATAGGGGCCGAGAGGATCGACATACAGACGGACGTCGCGTCACGTCTCATTAACAGATAAAGTCGAGAATGGACAACCAATGGAACACGCGTGGAGCGGAGTACCGTTTAGAAATCGATTTCATTACACAGAGAGTGTTAAACGCTTTCTCAAGCGTGGCTGCATACGGAGCTGGGAAACAGTTCGGTTCTGCGTCATGGAGCATTAAAAGCTACGTTCTTACGATATGCGGCGAATAAAATATGCAGTATGAGTCAACGTGACGCGATGCGACTTAACGCGCGTCGCATTCCATCGTTTTCGAAATAATATTAAGGAATCTCCTGAAACCTCATTGGATACGTTTAATTATTGTATCCATTTGTTTCCGATACTTTATCTAAATTAAGTATATCGTTATATTAAAATTGTATTATGAAAACATGATGTTTATATGTGAATATTACGAATAGAGGAGACCAAAAAATGCCACACTGTGAAAGAAAAAAAGAGATACCACGTGCCTTCTTAATGATAACATGACATCGATTGTTCTAGTTTCGAGATACTAATTTAGCAGTAATATTTTACACGGAGAAACTCGAGAAACTGGTGAACTTTGAACTATATGAAGACTAAATCAAACTTAGAAGGATAAAAATAGAAATTTCAGTCTATAAATTTGAGTATGTCTAATTTTCGACAGTCTCGCATATCGACGTTTCTGTTATGCATTTCTCTCATCGATCGAGAGATCGATTCATCATCAAGCTCGCTCCTATATAACAGGAATGGGGATCTTTATATGATTTTCAAACTCACAAAGTTGACAATAAATAGACAAACAAATTACTCCTTAATTTTTGTAAAAATTATTAGGATCTCTCTTCTTTTCCTTTAAATTTTAACTGAGCATTGTTCCCTCGTGATCAATCCGACGGGAACACGAACCACGACAGCTTCGACGAGTAGTTCAAACTCGAAGCGTGAAGATCTCTCATCCCCTACTCTCCATCACCAAAGATCGCGACCAGATGGTTGCGCTAGTATATAACGGGTTAATGCTGGAAAGTTAGAACGTTAATTAGTATAGAATAGACCTGCAACACGCGATACCGACTATATTTCAGTGAAGGATGAAGCGCGCAAAGGATAGCGAAATGATGGTACACAAAATGAGCTCGCCTAAAGATATTTAACCCTACCAATGACAAGGACGGTAATGCTGTTCAACATATGGAGCATCGCATTGAGATGCACCTACTTAGAAGCTTTATAGTTGCGCGTCAATGCGCCTACCATTCTAATAATTGTAGCATGTATTCGAAGTTCATTTGAATTAATACAATAGAACGTCCAGTCAAGGTATGATATGAGGTATTTCGTCGCGCAAGGTGGGCAAAGAACAAAGAAACCGGTTATCCTACACGATAACATAAAAAAAAGAGAATTATATTGCGATTTACCGGTACTTGCGTGAGTGCCATTACGCAATTGCTTGCATTAAACACGAGTAACACTTCCTAACGCCTTTCACTCTCATGAGGAAATTTCACCTGGCGTAGAGAATCGACACTGTTCCCGATCCAAAGAGTCAGCATATCCGTAACGGTGCCACAAAATCGTGTACGCGCGCATTTAACGCGTCAGATTAATGGTGGATTTTTGTGACGATGTACGAGGGTGACAGACGTTGAATCGCCGTAGGAGACCCTTAAACGGTCCCCGAGGTCGTTAACGACGCGAAACAGCTCCGAGATGCGCTAAAGAACTCGCGCTGCATTATTCACTTTCAGTCTCTCAGGATCAGATTTTTTCGCCGCATAAAAGGCGGCAATTAACGTTCATGCACAAGAGAGGCAGAAAGAACGTGAATAAAATATTCCAAGATCGAGAATTATAATAAAAAGACAAAAAAGATCCTGAAAAATAAGATTCTGAAATTAAAAGATATCCGTAATCCAAAAACAAAAAAAAAATAAAAATGGTGCACCACCGTACATCAAAATCGTTTGCGACCTCGTTTCGTTTTTCCCTTCATTTACGCTTTCAGTTCGTATACCTCTTCACTCCTACTATCCTCGCCGATATATCGTTCGGAAAAATTGACAGAGTAAAATTACACTCGTAATTAAACACACACCGATCAGAAAAAGAGAAAGAAAGAGAGAAAGGGAGAAATCATCCCCCTCGAGAATTCACGAGAGCAGAAGAGACAACCGAGCAGACGTAAAAAGGTGAACACAAAGGAGAGACAAAGACATCGTTATGGTAAAGAAAAAAGGGAGATGAAGAGCGGAAGGATTATAGGAGGGTAATAAGGAGGAGGATGGATAGAAAGAACAAAAAAGCAAGAGGATAAAATAAAAAGGGTACAGGAGATAAAGGTGAGCGATAGAAGAGCAATGTGCTTACCTTCATATTCGAGCGGAGTTAAGCTACTGATGCTGACGGCGGCGTCGATCAACTGTTTTATACCCAGGCCCCGATTGCTCGGACCACCGAATTCGTTGAATCGGTCTTACTGCCTGTCTCGGACCCCTCCTTGTCGTCTGGTGTCCTCGCAACTCTGCCGGCAAGATGAATAGCACGAAAACGGCGTGCATCACCGGCGCGTAAAGTCTTGGAAGTCACCTCGCGTGATCGCAAATCATTCACCTCGTCGCGCGCAAATATGTCGCTCTAGTCGCGGGAGTCGCAGTTTTCTAGGTCGGTTTAGCGATCGGTCTGTCTCTGATTTGTCGCGAACGACTGATTGATCGCAATTCCGCCGATCAAGTTCTCCGACTAACGCTTGAAGAAATTTGGAAAAAATGACTTTCCGCTTACCACTCTTAGAGTCTGATTTTTTGATCTGATCAACTGGATCCCTCAAATTACGAAATTCGGTCCCCCTGAAATGTTTATTCGTCGGAAGAATCACAAAACGACGAATTAATGTATTCATCACATCGATTGCGAGAATTTAGAATGCGTGCGACATTAGAGAGGAAGAATGAGAGAGAGAGAGAGACAGAGAGAGAGAGAGAGAGGGAGAGAGAGAGAGAGAGAGAGAGAGAGAGAGAGAGAGAGAGAGAGAGAGAGAGAGAGAGAGAGAGAGAGAGAGAGAGAGAGAGAGAGAAAGGATGAGAAAGAGAGAGAAAGAGCGTCAGCGCTTTTATCGAGCGTGCGCTCGTTAGCGGGATTCAGCGGGAATTGCAAAAATAATATTTGGTCGGTGTTAAGTTAACTGACGTACCTCGTACCTCGTTAACTTCGCCGCTGGCCGCGGGGGAATTATTGCTTCCGTTCCAGTAGCCGCGCGAAAACAGGCGACTCGCGAAAAAATCAGGCTGAGCGAGTTAGCGTGTTGCGCAAGCTGCATAAGACCTGCACGAAGTCGCTGTACTTGGCCGATGCATCCTCTCAAAGCTCCATGTTGATCGAAACAATTCGCGAGCGGATGCAACTCGGAGTTGTGTAATATTGCGATGAAATTTTGTGTTTTATAAGAATTGTGTAACAAAAATAAAAGAAAGGAAGAGAAACGCATATATGAAATAATATCAACGCGAAGAAATATATTCGCGTTTGAGATTTTCTTCTGTTAAACATACGTATCATATTTCTTTTGTACGCTGTGTATTGTATAATCCTCTTCAATCTTACGAGAGTGGTCCGATAAGTACTTAGCCTACAAAAGAAAAACGAAAATTTTGGGAAAGTGGCGATTTATTTCTCAACATAGTCTCCTTTTAGCTCGATATACTTGACCCAGCGATGCTCCAACTTCTTTAACCCGTCTGAAAAATACGTTTTCTCGAGGTCTGCAAAGTAGGCCTCCGTGGCGGCGATGACCTCCTCATTCGACTCAAATTTCTGCCCGGCGAGTGACTTTTTCAAGTTTGGAAACAAAAAGAAGTCGCACGGGGCCAAATCTGGAGAATACGGTGGATGGGGCAGCAGTTCGTAGCCCAATTCGACCAATTTGATCGTGGCGAGGGCGGAGGTGTGAGCCGGTGCATTGTCATGGTGGAAGAGCACTTTTTTCTTCGCCAAATGGGGCCGTTTTTTCTGCAATTCGGTGTCGAATCGGCCCAATAATTCGGCATAGTACAGCTCTGTGACCGTTTTGCCTTTCTCCAGGTAGTCGATGTAGATCACACCCTGTGAATCCCAGAAAACGGTGGCCATCACCTTTCCGGCCGATAGGACAGTCTTCGCCTTCTTCGGAGCACGTTCGCCGGGTGAAGTCCACTGTTTCGACTGTTCCTTGGTCTCTGGTGTGTACC